GGTTTCTTAAAACCTATTGAAATGACCCTCAGGAGCGAGCAGTACAAGAGAATTTTAGAAAACTTATGGAGCATGTTGCTCAACTGCTTTCTCGAGAGCCTGTACTTTATAATGCTCCATAAATTTTCTATGGGTTTGAGGTCAGGGGATTGGGACAGCCATGTCATAACACTCACGTGCTTCTCATCAAAGTATTCCTTCATCAATTTTGATTTGTGACAGGGAGCATTATCCTGCATAAAAATGAGCTTGGTGGGGTCGATTTTCACCCTTTCAGCAGAAGGGAGCAGACAAGACTCTAAAAGTCTCTTGTGCTTATCATTACATTCCTTATCATTATTCCTTTTCATTAATATCACACACCTCATTCACTAACGCTCTACCTTGAACGGATCTTGAACCTTGTATCACGCTAACTTTAGTAATAAGATAGGCTATGTGCCATGTCATAAGATAAGCATGCCGATCTGAAATGAAAGGTATATAATGATTATAATCCTGACGAAAAGTATCTTTCTTTTTTACTGGGTAAAGACTTCGTCTGATTTTGTGGCATAGCCTTGTACAGCAAATGCTCAGCAGCAAATGGTCAAAGGCCTAAGACAGGAATTTATTCTCCATGAGACAGAGGTATTTAAACTGCACACCCACTCGAATTGAATGTGCTACATCATCAGTCCCATGACCGGGTGCGGTCGAAAAAGACGCTGAGCAGTTGAGCGCCTGACCATCTCTTGCCACATATTTCGGTAGGTATTCATTCAAGCGTAGCGTGCCGAGGACAAAGGAGACCCGGCGGAGACAATCCCACACCAGCTGAGACCACAGCCACCATCCACCAATTCGATGCTTCACCAACATAGCCATGGGCATGTTTTCTCGCGCCTATACCTAGTTTTTAGGCTGACACCTAAAAATATAATTCTATACTTCAATCCGTCTATTCGCCTTTACGATGACAGCTTGAAGTCTTAAAACTTACATTCATTACCAATCTAGGCACTAGTGAAAACTGAATTCTTAGTTTTTTAGTATAAATGGTCTAAATACTTAACCAACACAGCCATTGGCCCCATCCTGTTCCAGCTGGTAACATGAAGTCGAGGTTAAAGTAGGAAGCCATGTGTACACGGACAAAAATTGCCCAACCTCACTCGATACTTCCCTTTCGGGCACAAATTAGATCCCAGGTAATGGCCTTGGCTCTCTCGACCAAGGGAGAAGTATTGCTTGAAGAGAATGTCCACTGGCGCTTTGATATTTGCCTTATATTGAGCATTTTACACCAAAATAGAGTATACCCTAAAACTATATATATATATATGTATGTGTGTGTGTGTCTGTATATATATATATATATATATATATATATATATATATATATATATATATATATATATATATATATATATATATATATATATATATATATATATATATATATATATATATATATATATATATATATATATATATATATATATATACATATATATATATATATATATATATATATATATATATATATATATATATATATATATATATATATATATATATATATATATATGTAAGAAGAAGGGTGCCGCAAAGGTTTTTTGGTTGTAATGTGGATTTATTGAGAAAAATATTATACTTTGTTTTACATAATTTCACGACACGTGTTTCTGGTCTGGTCTCGCAACCGTCTTCAGGTGAAAGTGGAGATTTTTACATATTATTAAAAATAATTAATTTTTCTTCATGTTCAATGTGGAATATTCTCGATATGAGACATTCTGTTTGTGTGTTGGCAATCCGAATTTTCTTTCTAGAATTGTCAATGAAGAGTTCTGCGTGAAGGGTCATAAAACAATTAAGGTTTGTCCAGCGAGTAGTTATCGGCATTTAATATTTTAATGTTTTAGTGACCTCTATGTGCTCTTGGATCTGTTTCTATTTTTCTAGATTATATTTATATTATATATCTTCTATTATATATGTATATATATATATGTAAATTTCAGTTATCTGTTTGAATTAGTTGGGCTCTTATGTCCATCGTCTTTTGTGTTAAATTGTTATAAGTTATAATGTTAATTATGTTTAAATGAAAATATCCATGAAGATGGTCTTAAATAGACCGAAACGTCCGACGTCGACTTTATTTTAACATTAATAATGCATATTCAAATTTTGTTTTTCTGTATTTTCTTTTCATATATATATATATATATATATATATATATATATGTATGTGTATATATCTATATATATATATATATATATATATATATATATATATATATATATATATATATATATATATATATATATATATATATATATATATATATATATATATATATATATATGTGTGTGTGTGTGTGTGTGTGTGCGTGTGTGTGTGCGCGCGCGCGTTAGAAGGATATAGAATCTGAAAAAGTGGTGAAAGGACTCAGAAAGTGGGAAAAACAAAAATTCTACATATTTTATTTTTGGAAATCCTTTATTTATTCTAGTCTGCCTCTCCAACCGCCAAAAGTTTACACACTATGTTAATTGACATTAAATTAAATCCTTTGATAATAAATAACAATTGTGTTAAAAGAAATAATTTTTCTCTTGCAAAGGGGCAATATTACCCCTCAATTGACACTACAGGTTGTGATGGGTAAATTTTCCTTATTTTAATTTTTAATTTCGCGCATGCACGTTGTTTGTTTTTCATTTTGTCGACTGCACAGTATGTTAAGGTCAGTTGGGCACTGTCTGGGAGAAAAAGAGCACCATGACTCAATTCACTCCGCCAGTAATCTAGAAACGGCATGCTGTACTGCTTGACATTCGCACTGGAAGCTCCAATACAAACATTGCAGATGGTTTAAGTGTCAATCTGAGGACTGTGCAGAGGCTGAGGAAAGAGTTGGATGAGTCTGATGGTGATTACGAAGATGTTTGGAGTGATCACCAGTGACTGCGACGTTATGCCTCCATTCATCTTCCAACAAAGTTACAGAATCAATACTGAAGCCAACATCAAATACTTTGAGAAGGTAGTGTTGCCCTGAGGGTGGCTGCTGGAAGACCCATGTCTGACAACAGGACTCTGCACCATGCTGCACAAACAGGAGAACATTTCTAAAAGTCATCTTGAAGTTTAAGGGATTATCCTGACCTGACCTGACCTGAATCTTATTATTGGCTTCAAGAACTGCCGTGACATTTTGAGATGTATTGCCCATAATTTGCCAATTTAGTTGTATAATTCTAGTGATACAAAAATATAAATCTTATTGGATAACAGATAAAAGATAAAAACCTAATTAGTTTTATTAATATTTATTCCCCACCCCAAGTTGTGCTTTCTTTTCTTTCTCTTAATGGGTGGCTGTTATCCTATGGCGGCAATTGTCCAAAGGGCATTTGTCCTAGGGGCAGTTCTCCTGATATTCTCAGAATCTGTAGAACCACAACATGAACGAGTCTCCCGTGCCAGATGTCACTAGAAAATGGAACACAGGCCTGGTCATTATCTATAGTGTTACATTTGGCATTGAAACAAAGGGTTCTGAAATTATCATGGCTTATCCTAGCCATAGTATTCCACAGACAACTTCTATGTGGTCTGTTCCTTCAGGGCATAAGTAATCATGTCTCTCCACAATTTCCTGTCCTTTGTAGCTCTTGTAGCAAATGTATTTTCACTATTACTCCTAATTCCTGTTCTACCAACCATCTACTCAAGCTTACCACGTAGGTCATGTGCTGCTTTCCTGTCTCTCTTGCCTTCAATATATCCTGTGAGTGTCAAATTTTCTAAACCCTCTTTCCTCATTATGTGCCCTAGAAATTTCAACTGCCTCTTTCTGATGCTAAGTATAAGTCTCGTTCATTTTCTCTAAAGTTTTGTCATTGCTCACGTGTTCAGTCCATGGTATTCTCAGTATTAGTTAGGGGACAACTGCACTCCCCCCCTAATAGGATAATTGTTCTCGGACAAGAGAAAGGGGAAATTTTTGAATAGTTTTGCTTTTACAATAACAAAGATAAACTTCTAAAAGCCATCTTGAAGTTTAAGGGATTATCCAGACCTGATCTGACCTGACCTGAATCATATTATTGGATAATTCTTCTTACTGGATAAAACCCTAATTATTTTTATTAGTAATTATCCCCCCCCCCGAAAGCCGTGCTTTCTCTTAATTTTATATTAATAGGGGCAATTGTCCGGGGGCGGTTGTATCAGAGGCAATTATCCTTATACCCACCTACCTACCTACCCATCCAGACAGAGCAAGCGAGACCCTGAATAAAGCACCTGCATATATTGGAAACAAGGTTCGAGTCCTCATTTCACGACGTGGCATTTTCCTTCGTTTCGCCGTGAAAGTGCAGCGGTCTTTTCTCAGTTTTTGGTGCACATCGACATGAACGTGCGATGATCACTGGCCGGTTGGAGGGCGTTGCGTGAGGCCCCCGCTGTATGTCGACACACTTCAAACAAAGCGTCATTTCAACAGAACTACCGAAAACTTTTCTTTTTAAATATTACTACGAAGATTAAATTTTAAGTAAGACCTAGAGCCGTGCCCATAAATTCTTAGATTTATGTAATGAGCCTCCTTTGTTTTTCAAATTGAAGTACGGACACTTTTTTGGAGAAAAATTCACCCGGGACCTTTGTACACAAACGACACGTTTTATTAAAGATTCATTAATTTTTCTCCTAACCTTTAACCTTTGCGCGCATTCTAGAACAAACCTTTGCGGGTTATTTAAAGCCAGAATGCATTTTTTTTTCAGATTACAAGAATTTCTTTTTTGGGAGATAAAAATAATTTTAGTGATACAAGTCTTACTGATTAACCCATAGATGAGGGTCGAAAGAGCTGGATTCATACCATTTCCCAAGAGTATTTGCACAAAAGTAAATATAACGAACCCAACAGGAATTGGAACTCTGCTCTTTGATTAAGAATTCCAAACCAATATTCTATCACATCATCCGCCTATCTTAGCTTGCAGTGCCATGTATTCCCAAACGGTTACCCATCTAGGTACTGACTAGAATGAATTGCTTAACTTCGGTGATTGTACGGGAACCGGTGCTTCAACGTGATATGGCTGTGACCAAGAGCAAAGCGTTTCAGATGATAATATAATAAAAGAGGCAGATGGAATAAGGATGCTCCCAGTTGATTTTCTCCAAAAAGAATAAGTGTTCCAGTCCGTCTATTTAAAACGCAAATGTAACCAGGTAACTCGAGAGTTAGTTATGAATAGACTGAAATAGATAGATAGATAGATAGATAGATAGATAGATAGATAGATAGATAGATATGAAGTGACTAGTACAGATAGATAATGCTGTGACTTGCACAGATAACTATAAAGAGAATGCGATTGATAGATAGATAGATAGATAGATAGATAGATAGATAGATATGAACAAAATGATATACACACACACATACATACATATATATATATATATATATATATATATATATATATATATATATGTAGATAGATAGATAGATAGATATATGAACAAAATGATATACACATGAAGTGACTTGTACAGGTAGATATGAACAGAATGAGATAGATAAATAGATAGATAGGTTTGCCCCCCCACACACATATATATATATATATATATTTATATATATATATATATATAGTATTATTAGAAATTGAATAATTAGTGAATAAAAATTTCATTGATATATAAAAATATATAGATTATAAAAAAACCAAACAACAGAGTATAAAGAGAGAATTTTCAACCAATCGTTGTTGGTTTTATTAAATTTTAAAAGAAATAGCTTGTATCACTTTAAAAAAAAAAGATAAATACATGACTTTGCAATTTCCTTTAGTCAATAAACTCAAAAATGTTATCTCGTCTACACAAATCTATGCCAAACCAGTTGATTTATACAAAGATAAGCGAGGCGGACAGAGATCGAAATACTCGCCAGCTTCTCTAAAATAATATGCGTCTTACTTTGTCTTGTCATCTGTGGTCAGTTGTTAAAAGTATGAACCTTTTCTACATCAGATCCATGGCCATTTCTACGAAAATTTCATGCAGCAAGGGGCACGGTGGAGTAATAGATAGCGGCTTGGATTGAGAAAGCGGAGAGCCGAGTTCGAATTCCAGTCGAATCCATTATATTCATTTACGTGCTTAGGAAAGTATGTACCCCCCTACTTCTACCGCCAAAACTCTGAGTACGTAGCAGGACACACTGGGTTGTATAGTTCTATAGATGGCAACTGCGGGAAAGAACCTTCTTCGTCAGTCATATATCAAAAAGCGTGTATCACGTACGATCCATAACTGACTGATAGATGAAGATATATCTTCACAAAAGGTTTAAAGTTAATTTTATTCTAAAACTGTAAATAAACTGCAGTTTTAAATTTTACTACAATTATTGGAAGATTACTTAATTCATTTTCACTATGACTAGTTATTAACGAAGCTATGGAAGCTCGTCGGCCGTGCACATACCGTGATGAGTTTGAATTCTTCGAAATATTGAATCCTGTAGAAAACCCTCGAAAAATCGACAAACATTTTTTTCCCTCTCTCACTAAAAGCTCTCACCCAAAAGTCTAACTTATATCTTCTTTCGCTATTACCAAGCCAACACCTCACCCGCGGCACTTCTTCCTCTCCCATAGTGCGAAATATCTAAATATGATAGCCAGGGTGGAGCGCCGCCTCTCGGTCGAGGTGCGCGTTAGTTGTTTCGGGAAACATCGCGAATGATGACGTCACAAGTATGCAAATGTCAATGGAATTGGTTTACCGTTTCAGATTTAGCTTCTTTTTTTCTTTTTCTTTTTTTTTCTTTTTTTTTTTTTGCCATCGCGAAAAATCAGCAGTAGCTTTGCTGTGCCGGCTGCTTCGGTGCTAAATGTTACAGTTCGCCACACCTACTTGGATTCAGCACGAGGCTTTGCGGCGCGGAAGTCGTCTGCAGTCGTCTGTACATACCTTTGTAAATAGAGAAAAGGTAAGGTCAGAACACGTAGTGAAAATAATGGGCTCTTTTTTAGGCCTTCCAACTTCGGATTCTATACTAACTTTATCTCAGGCACCAGTTTTAGGATAATTTTCAAAATTTCGTGTTTGTTTTTGCTTTTTCATTTAATATTTTAATGTAGTAATAAACTTTTGGCATTCTTAAAAACAAATTTAAAAGTTCGATTATTAATTCGCTAAAAATAAGGTTATTACAAAAAAGAATGGCAATTAATTGGTAGCGATAAACTTCGCTTTTGAAAAAGATTTCTGAAACTATTCCTAAAACATTTCTAAAAAAAACGATAAGCCCACGTTTTTATTCGACAATTTTTTGTAGTAAAAGTCGAAAAAAAAAAAAAAACTCTGAGAGTAATAATTTTTGAATTCGTTTATCATATTCCTTTTTTATTTTTCAATGCCAAGATTTTTAAATGGTTACAATAGTAAGGCAGTTTTAATACCTACAAGTCTTAAAACTGATATGATCATTCTGTTTACACCGTTCTCTTCGTTATTTTCTACAGGAAATTCAGTATTCGTTATTTTCTACAGGAAATCCATCAGTATTTACGGGTTTTCTAGAATTCTATCATCTTTCGTACAGAGATAAAAATTGTTTCTAATCACAAAACTATATATCAAAGTTTTTTATAAAAATGTTTACTTTGCATCAAAGAAACTACTTTATATATATATATATATATATATATATATATATATATATATATATATATATATATATATCAAGGAAAAGCTAAACACCATCACATATTTCGTTAAATATGACGGACAAGTGATGTAAGAACGCTGAAAAAAACTAAATAAAAATTAATAAATTTTTCCTTGCCCGTCATAAATAACGAAATCGGATTCGTAATGGTGATTTGATCGCTTAATTCGTGAAAGTATTAACATGCAGTGCTGATTTTTTATACATATTTTTGTATGTCTGTAAATGCTCTACATCTCATAATGACGATATTTCCCTCATAAATATATCACATTTTAAACTATGTAATTGTATATCTATCTATCTATCTATCTATCTATCTATCTATCTATATATATATATATATATATATGTGTGTGTGTGTGTGTGCGCACGCGTGTGTGTGCGCGCGCGTGCGTGATTTAGATTTTTAAGATGGAATGATAATTTATATGACGATTTGGAAAACTTTTAATTACACATGTTCCGCTAATAAAAACGGCTTCATCAGAAACTAGATTTTTATTTCAAACAAATCTACATTGGCGAGACAAAGCGTGATTCACGTTAGTTGTATGAAGGCTGGATATTTTTTTTTTCTTTTTTTTTTTTACTTTACCTGTATCGTTTTTTTTTTTTTTAAAGTAGATTTTATTAATTTCAACTCAGTTTTTATTTATGTATTGAATTGCTTTAAGACCTTTGCTATAATAATATTTTCAACCCTCCAGTTAAGTAAGAACAGATGACAGTTCATACAACTAACATGAAACACGTTTTATCTCACCAATGTATATTTGATCAAAATAAAATCTATTTTTCTAATAATGCTGTTTGATCAGCGAAACACTAAAGGTTTTCCAAATTGTCTTATACACACACACACACAGACAGACAGGCACACAAACACAGACACACACACATATATATATATATATATATATATTTAAAGAAAAGATGTATGATAAATTGGAAAAAGTTTTTGCGACATGTTTCTGCCATTAGGACTTCATCAGACTGGGTTTGTTGACGGATGAAATACGTTGCAAAAACTTTGTCATACAACTTTTTTTTTCAAAAACTGTTATCATATATAAAAAATTTATATAAAAATTTATATATTGTTACCCATATATATATATATATATATATATATATACTGGGTGTCCCTTAATAATGTATACACTCTTTGAATCGTTATAACTTATTCAATTTATGTATTTTGACTTGTAAATAAGATTAATATGAGGGAAAGAATACACATTTAAAGAATTTGAGAGTAAAATATACAAAAAACAAAGAAAATTAACTTTAATAGCATAAAACCTACTTGGGTCAATGGCAGAATGTTCATTTAATGATGAGTTCACATCAAGTGCTCAAAATGGTTGCCATTCTGTTCAATACACTTTTCATATCTTGAAGAAATAGACCTACAAACGTCCAGTATCATTTCCTCTGGTATTTGAGCCTATTCATCTTCAATTGCTATTCTCATTTTAGCAATTGTTTCAGGTTTCCTGTTGAAAACTTTGTCTTTTAGAAACCCCCACAAAAAAGAAATCCAAGGGTGTCAAATTTGGTGATCTATCTGTCCCTCTTCTTCCAATCCATCTGTTTTGCTTATTTTCATCCATATAAAAAATGTATTATTAACTATTAATGTTTAAAGAGTGTATACCTTATTTTGGGACACCCTATATATATATATATATATATATATATATATATATATACATGATAAAATATAGTTTTAAGGTGAGTTATATTTATGGGTAAATGTGATCAATATCAGGGATAGAGCGTATATAAATATAAAAGTGGGCTCTGTGATCAACACTGAATGGTGACAGTCTGTTTTATGCTTTAATGTAATCTTCAGGCCATGTATATAAAAATATCTTGACGAAAAGGACAAATGTTTTAAAATAGAAATTTAAAAACATTCTCTATACAATTTAGAAATACAGAGAAATTTTTCGAATTATTTATTTTATTAAATTAAAAATGAGTTGTTTTTTTTTTAATTAAAAATAAGGTTTTTTTTTTTTAAATTGTTAGGTATTTCTACCAAATCGCTGGCTTCAAATTAATTACTATCTCGTTGTGCACATATTAAAACAGTATTTATTTTATTTTATTTTTTAGAAAAATGAAATCAAAAGATATGTGCCAATTTCAGTTCCTATCTGTAATTTATTGCCTTTAAAATCATTACACACACACACACACACACACACACACACACACACACACACACACACACACACACACACACACACACACACACACGGTAAACTTTTCTTTACCGATGCGTTTCGATCCACCTCAAAGTACTTTATCAATGTAAGGGTATTATTTTGAAATATGTATTTACAA